GGGGGAGGTGGGGAAAGAGGTCACAGCAGTCTGCTCTCCGGAAACCCATCCCTCTTGCCCATAGCTCCTTCCTAGGAGTTCGAGCCTCACAGGTGGTTCAAATGTGGGAGACATTGGGTGGGGGCTGGGGGCTCTTCCCTCCCCCCCAAAAAATAGTTGGCAAACTCCCTCCCCTCACCAGATGTCTTCCGGACACCCAAAACAGAACCTCGATCATCCTCTATCCTCCTATGCATAAAACCCTAACACCCCAACCTCACCACTTTGGGAGATGGTGTAGCTAAGGTTATTAAAATCAAACCTAAGGAAAGCCGGCCATAGCAGGAGACCCCAGTAAGAAGCATCTGGCTGCTTTGATAAAATACCTGCCAAGCTAGTCAATTGCAGGCCGATTGGCAACCCCACACTCACTTCGCTGGTTCCGTCCCTGTGGGAAGAGTGAGGGACACAGATGCTTTTGGAGAGGGCAATCGGAGGTTGGAGAGACAAACATTTAGCATCCTCCAACACAACACAACACAACACAAACACACACAGATGTGATCATAAAAATATAATACTTGGTGGGGTCTCCAGTTCTTCCTCTAGAATGGAGCTTGTTGACTGTCTGTTTCTGTTTTTCTTTTCTGTTAGACTGACAAGGGAAAGTTTGAGACCCTGTCGGGCAAAGTTACAAAGTTGTGGTGAGGTCTGTGGCGCACTTTTGCGAGTGGGTGCAGCTCTCTGCATAGGAAAGAAAACAGAGGAGTACACTGGAGAAAGGGATGGAGAGTGGGTTTGCAAAATACCTGGCCTGAGCTGGGGTTGGGTGGAGCAGGAGCTGAGCCCTGAGATTTCAGATCAGTTAGATGTGTCTGAAGCCTTAGCCCTTTGTGACTGCAAAGCTCCACCATCTAGAGTCAGTCCAGGAATATCCATGATTAATTGGGCTAATAATGGGGGTAGCAGCTCTGTTTCCCTGATTTGTCTCAGTCTGCTCTAAAAACTTGAGTCCAGACTACTCTTAGTGTTTAGGATATCTTTGACTTCCTTATACTTGAGGTATTCTCTATGGATGCCTCTAAAGTGAGGTTGTTGATTTGGAGAAATATTCTTTTAAAGGGTGTCTGTTTTTAAGCAGAATATATTCTGCTTTGTCAGATAGCTCTTAGATCTCCTGTTAAGTGAAAGGCAATAGAAAAACTTGCTATTATAGTTAATCTATGTTCAGTTGCACTTTGCAAATGGTATTTTTGCTAAATGTTTATGGAAATGAATGCAGAGCTTATCTAATCAAAATGTTTACAAAATGCAGATTTGACAACCAGTGACAGTTAGCCTCCTTATGGAGTTGACTTTCATTTCAATCAGGCATCGAGGTTTTATTTTAAACCTTTTCTATTCTTCAGTAAGTCTGAAGGTTACAAAATAAAAGCTTTCAGTGTAAGCATCTTTATTTGGTCATTAAATCTGGACACATTCCTCTAAACTTAATGTTTAAAAGGTGTATTTTCTCATCCATAAAATATGCCTGATTTGATAAAGAAAATTCACACTATGAAAATTTGCATTCCTGAATCAATGATCAACATCATTTCCAACCCTACCCTCCCATATCTATTCAAATTTATTTATGAATATTAGGGTGAGCTTTAGAAATTTTTGCTTTGGATTGATTTGTTGTTGTGATTACCCCTGAGTTCAGAATTGTTGGATGTGTGCTATCACATAACCACATAGTATAATATGAATAATTATTAGTAGTGCATTTTACCACCATGGCACATTCTCACATAGTTTTCCATTCCTGGGAAGCTTTTCTCTTGTGCTGCAATATTGGATGCTGAAAGATGAGAGGGAGGAGTAATTTATCTTCGAGAGATTTAAAAGCATGTGATTACTGGTAGATCCACCAGATTTTGTTGCTGGTTCCCATTTAATGTTAAAATTAAGCAGACATTAGTAGAGGTAATAAAAATCTTATTTTTTTTTGCTTATGCCAATTGTGTAAGATTTATTTCATTTAGCATTTCATCACTTGTGCAGAATTGCTTTTTAAAAGTCAATTGTTTATGTTTAATATTATTATTGTTAACTCATCATTTATATTCTTTTTAAAGCATAAATGAAGAGTGGTTTTCACACGAAATAAAAAAGCACTTGATTATAGAAGAACATCGAAAGCACCATTTTTAACCTAAAAAATATCAGGAAAAAGTATGAAAGAGCAATCTGATTGATCCTCAAACCTGGAAACCACCATATCCACTGGAAGACACAGAATGGCCCTGCATCAAACCTTCACCACTAGATTTATTGAAGAATGGTGCTTGGATAAATCACTGTCTGGCTGCAGGAAGCACCAGAATGTCTGGAAAAAACTGAGACAAATACGCATTGTAGGGCTGTTCATGGGCATAATGGCCATCTGCACGTTCTCACTTTCAACTAGTGCCTTTTTCAAGATAGAGACACACAGCACAGATCGGGCCAACAGTTTAGGTCATTCAGAATTAATGGCTGGATACCATCAAAGAACTCTGTTAGACTTAAAGGAGAAGGTTCAGGATGGTACTCCAGAGCCACTTCCTACAAAATACGTAAATGCAACTGAACATCCTCAAGGAGACTACCCAAGAGACCTCTTTTCCCTTCAGGAGCGAAGAAGAGGTGCAGTAATTCTCCATGTCCTCGGAATGATCTATATGTTCATTGCCTTAGCCATAGTCTGTGATGAATTCTTTGTTCCTTCTCTGACTGTCATCACTGAAAAGTTGGCCATTTCTGATGATGTAGCAGGGGCTACTTTCATGGCTGCTGGGGGCTCAGCTCCAGAACTTTTCACATCTCTGATAGGAGTCTTCATAGCTCATAGCAACGTTGGCATTGGCACAATTGTAGGCTCAGCAGTATTCAATATCCTGTTCGTTATTGGGATGTGTGCACTGTTTTCAAGAGAGATCCTAAACCTCACCTGGTGGCCACTCTTTAGGGATGTCTCATTTTATATTGTTGACTTGATCATGCTTATAATTTTTTTTCTGGATAATTTCATCACATGGTGGGAGAGCTTGTTGCTGTTAACAGCTTATATTTGCTATGTGACTTTCATGAAGTTCAACGTTCAGGTGGAAGCATGGGTGAAGCAACTGCTAAATAGAAACAAAGTCGTGAAAGTAACTGCAACCACATCAGCAGCAGCAGCAGCAGAGAATGATGCAAAGGTTGGTTGCGTGTTCTTTTTTCTCTTTTTCATTCACTTAGACCAATATTCTTTTACAATTTCAAATCTGCCATTTGTGAAATTGTGGTAGAGTCATGGGTCATGGTAGATAATATGCAGTGCATCATGAATAACAATTGAGCAAACATATCATTATATAACCTTCAGAGCTGGACATTAGCCTCTCAGGTCACCCAGAGCTGCAGATATGGAGGTGCCAGTAGAAAAAATTCTACCCTCACATTCTGCCTCCCCTCCTTCCATCACCTTGTGGACGTGGCTATGGAAGGTGCTCTTGAAAGACAGGGTCTGCACTAAGGGGTGGTGAATAGTGAGTAAGAGCTGAGCCAATAGCCCAGTTGACAAAGTCGTTTCAGGTAATAGCCTTGCAAGAGTATGGTATGTTCTATGTAGTCATGAGCTAGCAGCTGTTATGACCTCAGATACTGGGAAACTAGAAATTACTTACCCAACACAAACATAGGGTTATAAAAAAAATAGGTTCATATGGCTCATAAGGATGCAGCTAACACAAGACAAGGATGTATATTGAATTTATGGCCAAATGTCCAACTTTATCCTTGTTCCATCATGGGGACAAATGCTGGAGTGGCAGCTGATGGAAAGCAGCTTACATCGAGTGAGGGATCCACCAGATTTTGAGGAGGCAGAAAGCTGCCTCAAAAGGTGCTTTGTATAGGGTCATGGGGTTACCAGGAACCATATCACCAACAGAAAACCTTCCATTATATATGGAACAAAGAAACCTTTATGTTCTAGCTATCAACATGGTACCATCTAGCAGCATTCTCTAATTCCCATGTGGTTTACAATACTATTTGCTTCATAGCTTAGGACTTCCCCCTTGAAATTCTTCCTGCCTCACAGGCCTTCCTAAGTAAAGGTATGGCCTATTATGCATTTATCTAGTGTGGTACATGTAGGAGACAACATGGTATAGTGCATAAAGAGCCTGCCTTGGAGTCTAGAAGATCTGGGGTTTAAGTCTTGTCATTGACATATACTGACTTTGTGACCATGACCATCCTGGTGTCCTAAGCAACTCTCTGAAAGTCTAAGCCCCAGAACAATTCCTTATCTACATTGGTAGAAAGAATCCCTTGCCTCACCTTCAGTACAGTTCTGTAGACCAAGAAAATCACAGATTTGGACTAAAAAAAAATAATAGGATATATGATATACTTCATTCACAACATTCATCTCAGAACTGAAAATGAAATATTTGTTAGTATTGATAATTTAGTTTTAGCCTTTGCCTTCTCTCTAGACATTTGAAGGAGTAGTGGTTATAAAGATTTTATGTGTAGTGTTTATGTCAAAATATTCATGTGAATAGTCTTTCATATTGTAATTCAGTAGTGTGGGGGATTCATGGTGTGGAAATTCCCATCACCAATGTTGATCTCAACTGATCTATGGCTTAGTAGCTAAGCCCTAGGCAAGTTTTTTTTTCAGATACATAAAGGTCAAGAGACTTGTCCAGAGTCACACAGCTAGTTAATGTCAGAGGTGAGTTTTTAACCCAAGTCATCCTGAATCCAATTCCAGCATTCTATTCTCTATATCAGCTTTATCCATTTTTTCTATCATACACCCTATCAATAAAAAAGGGAATATACCCCCAATAGATGTAATTACTTACTTATAAACTGTATACATGTTCTACTTTCCTAATAGAAAACTTATACCAAAATAGTAATTTTTAAGATGACTTTTAATCATAGGCCAGTGACATGGGAGCAGGGAAGTGACATGGAGAGACCGGTACTTTAGGAAAATCCCTTTGTAGCTGTATGAAGGATGGATTGGAGAAGGGAAATATTTATGGTAAAGAAACCAATTGAAGGCAGTTACAGCAGGCCAGGTGAAATGTGATGGGTCCCTGGCCTTACCTGATGGCTGGGAAAGGAGAGAGAAGGGGCAGGTGTGAGAAATGGTAAGGTAGAACCATTAAGATATGGCAATTGATTGGATGTGTGGGCTAAGGAGGAGTGGAGTTAAGGATGAAACTGAAGTTGTGAAGGTTACTGGAAGAATAGCGTTTGGGAGGGGGGTAGACAAAGTCATCATATCTGAGATTCAGATTACAACACATCCATGCCTACACATCCTTTGTTGTTTACTCAGTACCACTCAAAATAAAAAGAGGGTAGGTAGAACTCTTACTCACCACTCACTGCCCCAAAATGTAGATGCAGTCTTCCAAGGGTGCCTGCCAAAGCCATAAGGTGATCTGAGGGCACAGGACAGGGATAGAATTTCATTAAAAGCACCTCCAGAGCTACTGCTCTTAGCTACTAAGTCATAGATCAGTTGAGATCAACATGGAAAATGGGAATTTCCACATCATTAGTGCCCCACACTACTGAATTATAATACAAAAGGCTATTCACATGAATATTTTGACATAAACATTATACACAAAATCTTTATAACCACTACTCCTTCAAATGTTTAGAGAGAAGTAAAGTGTCCATAGAGGCTACTGCCCAGTTCAAAAGGGACAACATCAGGAATTTGCACAACATAGGTAGGGGATTGTTGGAGGACAAGGGTGTTTTTGTCGGAGATAAGCTGGAGTGATCATAGGAATGTGACTCAACTTCCCACCCTCCAATTTGTTTCTCACACACCCACTGGGGTGAGTCCAGGCCTCTTGAGATAAGGCAATGGTTCCCACTTTGCAGATCACTTCTCTATACCATGCTACCATTTGGCAGCCTAGTGGGAGGCATTTCAGTATAGTGGAAAGAGTGCTAAAGTTAAAATTAAAGTTAAAGTTAACATTAAAGGTAAACCTTGGTTCCAATCTCACCTCTGTCACTTAGTAACTGTGTAATCATGAGCCAATCTCTTGACATCTCTGAGTCTCCTTGTCCTCCTCTGTAAAAATGGACACTATAATAACTATATACCTGAGAGCTGTTATGAGAACTGGATGGGCATTTCATATTTTTAGTGCAATTTTCAAGTTACATGAGAATTGTTAAAGCAGAGCATTATACTTTTTTATCAATAAGGCCACGTTACTGTACCTTTTGAGTAAGTCAACTACGGACTGATAGATTTGATAACACAGTTTGGCACAGCCAGTCCTCTTGCCCTATGTAGATGAGCTTCTATTGGGCTGGCTAGAAAGCAATCTGGATTCATAAAAACACATGGTCATCACTGAATTGTGCTTGAGGCTTCTGCTATTCAATGATTTGTTTGGATATGTTATAATAAATATATCCTAAAACATAATACCGTATCTTTATTAACATGGGTCAGACAATTTCTCATATTTTCATGGTCAATTTGACCTGCAGGCAGAAAGGGATTATGGAACAGGTAAATATAGTACAGGAAAAGTAAATTTATGAAATTATTTGGCTACAAAATTACATTTTATGTACTGAAATGTGGTTATGGAGATTTAGAGACTAACACAAATATATTCTTGAGGCTGGTTTTAAACAGAGAAGCAAATACATATGCAAAGTTGTCATACCAGCATCTGGGTGAATTTTTATGTATACATAAAACAAATGTTGGCATAAGGGTGGGATTTTATCACAAAGAAAATAATAAGAATATTTATTGAATTTACATAAGTCCTTGCCAGTAAAATATGGTAACAACTATTTTTGCAGATGTCACAAAATGATGGTGAAGAACAGAAATGACACTGATGATAATTTTCTTTTCCTGAAGTGATCACATGTATTTGACAGGCCTCAGTTTGTGTGTATAATGAAGCCTGTGAAGTGGTAATGTTAATTCTAATTTGCACTGTGTGTTTCCATTGAATTGGAATCAACGATCACATTTCATATAGTCATAATTTTGAATTGTGTGAACTCAAATACATGTGATCACTTCAAGAAGTTCATTATTCACACTAATCAGAATCTTCTTGCTATCAAAATTGTTTCTCTTCAGAAAGACATTATAACCTGAGCATACACATGTATTGTTTCATTTGACCTTCACAAGGGCTTTGTGAGGGAGGTAAAGTTTTGTCATCTTCGTATTAGAGGTGAAGCATTCAGAGGCAAGTGACTTAGCTAAAGTCACAAGCTAGTGAGTAACACAGCTCAGACTAGAAACGCTAGAGTGTATAACCCACAAATATTGTGTCATAATCAGTCATTTCACAAGTATTCATTTTTAGCATATTTGACTCCCAACAAAATGGTAGTTTTGGTGATTTGCATTAACAGGCAGGAGAGATACAGAGACAGAGACAGAGAGAGATAGAGAGAGAAAGAGAGAGAGAGAGAGAGAAAGAGAAAATTGTAATGGTTAGTGATTCCATCACATCATGGTGGTGATCATAAATCACCTATGAATGGTTCTTCTTGATATGGGTACTCCCTCCAGTGCTGCAGATTATAATAAGGATGGTAGTATTTTGTATTCTCTGCATCTTACAGTCAATCATGTGACCATAAAGATGTCATCTCTCATAGAACATCATTTTTGAAAGCTTGGGTGATCCCTTCTTCAAGGATACCCACAATACATGTATAGGTAGTCCATAAAGTTACTTTTATGTAGAAATGGGAAAGTTGCTATATGGGTCAGTAGTTACTAATATTTTCTTGGTTACCTTATTTTTCCATACTAATGATCTTTTCTAATCATTTCTAATTCCTTCTTTCAGATATTTTGATCCTTTAGTGTCCTGAAAAGCCTGTCATCTCTAGTATGAATCTCCTCTATATATACCTAGTGTAGTCTAGAAGTTTTTCAGTCTTTATTTTCCTTAGTATCGTTTTTTCCTCATGTGACACATTGAAGACGATGTTAAAGTTCAAATGTGGTAATTTCACTGTCAATAATGGAAAGAATAGTTTATTCTAATAACCAGCTAGGTGGACCTAGTCAGGAAGAATGAGTTCAAATCCAACCTCAGACACTTACTAGCTATGTAACCTTGGGCAAGCCACTGAACATCTATCTGCCTCAGTTTCCCCATTTGTAAAATGGGGATAA